TTTCTGCTGAAATGTTCATCTTGGCATGTGTGAGTCTAACCCAATGCAGCATACCAGAATTGCAGATTTTCTTTAAAGTCTCATGGTTTATGTAAAAACTTCATGCATAATTTACATCTTTTCCATGATATCATATTATTTATTTGAATATGAAAATATTTCCCCAAAACAATTGTTTGAATAAATGATTCTGTAAGATCACTATATTCAGGCTCTGCCTTTTCATATCTCCTGGCATACCATTCCATACCCAAATCAGAGATTTATGGGGTTACATAACTTAACCAACTGGTGAGTACTAGCTTTAGCCTTCAAATCCAGGACTGTTTGATTTCAAAGCTCTTATTTCTTTTCTGCAAAGAAAAATAGATATTAAAAGTACATTTACAAAATACAAGGGATTCTTATCTTAATTTTATCTCAAATCTGTTACTTCTTTTCATCTCCATTGTCAACACCCTAATCCCAGCTAACCACTTTGCTTACCTTGTGGAAGTGCCCTAACTGGTCTCTGAATTCAGTCTTGCTACCTTCCAATCCATCATTCACAAGGCAGCCAGAGTGATCTTTCAAAAGTGTACGTTTTATCATATTATTCTCAGCTTATTTTGAGCTGTTCTTCCCTCTTCTTTTTGTGCTGTAGCCATCAAGCCTTCTCTCTGAACATACCATACTCTTCTTCTCCGGACTGTGATACACTGTTTCCTTTACCTAGTATGTGCTTTCCCATCTTATTCATTCTTTAAAGCTCAGCCAAAGCATCATTTTCTCACAAATGTTCCATACATACGGGTTTATGGATATTTTATATATGTTTTATATATGCAAAATAATTGAAATATTTAGTATAGTACCCTATACTATACAGTACAGTACCCTATACTACCTCTTCATTTATTTATTTATCAAAATTGTATTTAATTAATGAATCATGTAATTAACTAATGACTGTCTCCCCTACCAGAACCTAACTTCTGTGAGGGTAGAGACCATGCCATGTCCAATATTTTTATTTTTTGCTGTATCACTAGAGCCCAGTTAAATGCCTTAAAATAGTATGCACACAGAATTTATTTATTTAACAGATAAACCATGGTTGATTGATGACCTTTGGGGGGAATCCATGAACCTCATGAATTGTGTGCAAAATTTTGTTTGACTTATATATTTCTGACAAAAAGGTCCATGGCTTTCATCACATTCTTAAAAGGATCGGATTAAGAACAACTAAAATAAAAACAGTAACAGTACTAGATCAAATGCAATTAAAATGTAAAAGCTGAGGAGTTGTAGTGCTATTTAAAATGGTAGGCCAGTGCAACTTAGTGTGGTTTGCAGAGAGCATCAGTTCACTTGGGAGCTATCAAAATGCAAATTCTTAGGCCCTATCCCAGACTTACTGATTCAAAATCTCTAAAGATGGGTCCCTGGAATTTCTATTTTAGTCAACTACCTAGGTGATTCTAATGTATGTTAAATTTTGAGAAGCACTAATATAGTGGAAGGAGAATTGTCAGTTTCAGTAATTTATATAACCTCGCTTGCCAAGTAGTTAATCTAATTTGGCTTATGTAACTTTTACAGTCTCCTACATGACAAAAATAATAATAAATATATACATATATAACTTGTTAGCTTTGGGTGGGATTTTTTTGGACATAACTCGGCCTGGGAAAAGAGATGGGGACCCCAGACTAGCCACACGAAGACTTGTAGTCATGTTTGCAACAGCAGCAGTTGTAGCAAAAGGAGACTAAATAGGGAATAGATAATAGAAAAGAGAGATAAAAGAAAATTGTAGTATAAACGAATGCTTGCTGGTAGTAGACCCAAAGAATTAGTAGAATTGGTAGAACCAAAACGTCTTCAGGAAAGAAGAATCTTCTCCAATTTCACTGCTGTCATCATCTTTGAACTTTTACAAGTGAAAGGTCTAGGCAAGATCTTAGGAACTTTTCTATAGTGTCTATAGTTTTCAAGTAACTCTAAACTATATATAATTTATATTTGTAAAAATAATGACTTAGATGATAATTTAAATTGTTAAGCTCTGTGTTTCATGTTTCATTATACTGGTATTAGACTCTGAATTGGTGAATTTTTAGTATTTCTTATTAACATTGTTTCTTTTTCTTTTAATCATCTTAAACTAATAAAAGCTCTAATATAGTGAGTTTGAAAATACATGCTTCAAAAATACTTTACTACAAGGAATTTTTAAAAAATACTTATGACATTCAATTTTTACTGTAGCTATGTAGGTGTGTGAGATAAATACTTTTCTTAAGTGTTCAGAAAAGATATTTTTTAAAGTTAAATTTAACATTTCCATTATTATTATTTAATCTTTGCTTTAGGTTCTAGTCTAATGCCAGCAGCTGGAACAATGTATTTAACAACTTCAACTGGATATCCTTACACTTATCATAATGGTGTTGCTTATTTTCATACTCCAGAGGTAACTTCTGTCCCACCACCTTGGCCTGTAAGTAATTTCGTTTAAGAAGGTGTCCATCTATTACTGTCAAATTTTTTAAATATTTGTTTTATTTCTGAAATATTTCAACCACAATTACAAATAATAATATAACGAACATGTCCCTACCACCCAAATTTAACAGAGGTGAACATTTTGATGTATTGATTTAAGTTCTTCTTAAAGAAGGGAATAAAATAAGACATTCAGGTTTCCTTACCCCCATTCCCTTACCATCTTTTCCTCTTGAGAAGCAACCAGAATATCTTTCCTGTCCACCTTGTGTTTTTACTACAAATGTATATATTCTTAACTGATACATAGTATTGCTTTGCTGGTTTTTAAACACTCTATAAATAATCTGGTTTTTCTATTCCACATTATGTTTTTGAGATCAAACCATGTTGCTCCTTTTTTAGATTATACCCTGATCCTTCTATATCTAGTTCATCTATTTTACTATTTTATAATATTCCATTATATGAGTGTACTACAGTTTTTTAGATTCCTTTAGTGATGGAAATTTTAAGTTTTTTCTACAAACAAGACTCCATTGAACATCTAG